AGCGGGAGGGGAGCGGGCTCCGGGTGGGGCGCGCGGCCGCGGCCTCGTAGCCCCAGTGCCCCCCGCCGGCGGGCCGGTCTAACTTTGGGGGTCTCGTCTGCTAGACTCTCATACTCTGCTGGGTGCGGGGCGGCGCTGTCAAGGGGCAGGATTTGACCAAAGCTACCTTGGTCAGAAAGTACTGGAAAGAAACGAACCTTCCTTTTTAGCAGCACCTGACTGGAGGCAGTGAGTCACTTTTTAGAAATGCAAAAGCTGGCAGCATGGACGTACTGTTCTGGAAATGTCCCCCTCAGTCCCTCTCTCTGCTTTGGTCAGAGGGCTGTTGATGGAAATAGCCACTTTCCACCATTTTTCAGGTTAAACACATAAGCAGAAGGGCCCTTTTTTTTTTCATTTCCATGGAGTGGGGTTCAGCACCCCAAAAGCTGCAAGTTTGCTTAATAATAGAATTGATGCATTTAATATAAGTGGGAGGCATTGCATTTAGGATATTGAATCGGGGCTAGGTGTGTAGAGTCAGTGGAGATGAACGGATGAACGTTTAGTAAAAAAAAAAAAAAAGCTCAAGGACCTTTGGGTAAATAGTCACGGGACTGCAGACGCCTGTGGAGCTAATGCACCATAATTATTTGCACAGTATCTCTTTACTGCTTGTACAGATTTTTTTTTCTTTACTTTAAGAAGTGTGTCAAATTCTTGGTAAAATATCTAAGTCCACTTAATACAGAGAGTAGTAGCTGCTCTTACAGGTACTGCAAGCCTCCTGAGGGAAAGGATTAGACTGCAAGCCTCCTGAGGGAAAGGATTAGACTGCAAGCCTCCTGAGGGAAAGGATTAGACTGCAAGCCTCCTGAGGGCAAGGATGGCATTTCTGGTATTTCTGACAGCACCAAACAGTAATTGATTCAAAGTATGTATAATTATTTTATTAAAATAATTATAGTTGCTTGAGTGTGGCTGGCACGTAATTTCTGCATTTTTTAAGAGGAAAAACTAGACCATGCATACCCAAATCTAAAAACCATTCATAAACTTAGACTCAAGATGTCATATAAATACTCTGTAAAGGTGAAGAGAAAAAGACATTGACTAGGAACAATCATGAAGCCAACAGATCAAGGTGGTCTTGACTAGCAGGAAATGGGTTTTTCCTCCTTATCCTTTGAATGAGGATGACTTGGTGTGAGGTTTGGCAAACATTTTGAGTGAAGAGCTAAGTAAGAATGTCAGCTACTCAGCTGCCTTGGTAGCTTGAAAACAACCATGATTTCATAAAAGAATGGTGAGGCTGTTTCACTTTCTATTTATGTACACTGAAATCTGAAATTCCTATCATTTTTCACCAGTAACATAATATGGTTCTTTTATTTTCTCAGGCATTAAAAATGTAAAAGTCATTTTTAGCTGCAGAGCACAAAAAAACAGAAAGGGGAGGCACAGATTTGTCCTGTTGGTATTAGTTTACTGGTCCCACAACCACGTGATAAGAGTATGGAGAGAAACCTTTTAAAAGAATTAATAAACTAGGTTCTCCCAGTAAGGCATATTTAGGAGTTAAATTGAATGCCTTGGGGGAAAAAAAATTGAATGCCTTGAAGAGTTGCATTAAGTTACTTTTAAGTACTAAGAATTTTTGTTTTGTCTTGAATAATTCCTGTCAGACATCTTTATGCATCTTTATGAGATTTTGTTCTTAATTCATTAATTATGAAATATTTTATACATAAAAATAATATGTTAAATTTATGTGAGGTCTACATATTATATTCAAATGACCAGCTGTAACCACATCACAAGTTTACAAACTAGGGCTTAAGAATTAGATAATTGTGAAAAGATAACCAAATTATACTTGGAAAAAATATTTTAAAAGCATACTTCTGATAAGGAATGTTTATCAAACTATGTAACGAGCTTGTATGATGCAATAGTGAAAAGATAAATAACCTGATCATAGACATTTCTCCAAAGAAAAAAGAAAAATGGCCAATAAGCTCATGAAAAAAATATTCCACGTCATTATTCATTAGAATATGGCAAATCAAAGCCTCATTGAAATACTATTTCACACCCATTAGTATAGTAGAATCAAAAAAACTAGCTAAGAACATGGATGAAGATACAGTGGAACTGTAATTTTAATATATTGTTGGTTTGAATATAAAAGGTGCAGCCAGTTAGGAAAATAGTTTGGCAGTTTCTCAAACAGGGTTATTTCACATAGCCACAATTCCACTCTAAATACATATACCCAAGAGAAAAGAAAGCATCTCTCCACACAGAAACCTATACACAAATACTTATACCAAGACACCATTCACAGTAAGCAAAGGTGGCAACATCCAAATGTTCATTAACTGATGAGTGGGTCAATAAAATGTGGTATCTCCATACAAAGGTATATTATTCAGCCTTAAAAAAGGAATGAAATCGGGCCTTCCCTGGTGGCGCAGCGGGTTAAAGCACTGCACTGAGAAACTAAAGCCACTTCTGCATGAGTTCGATCCCCGCCTGCCCCGGAGGTGACCCACGTGGCGTGGCAGACCTCTCCTGACCCGCCCGCTGCTCCCCTCAGCAGTGTACTTCGTCGATCTGCCTGTTCTGCTCCCCACTCTGTCTCTGGTGAATCCTCTCACCCTCCGCATCTCTGGCCTGTACCCCAGTTCTGTATGCATAAATAAATAAATCTTTAAAAAAAAAAAAAGGAATGAAATCGTGATCCATGTACTAAGTTGGAGAATCTAATCATACATATTGTATGAACCATTCATATGAAAATGTTCAGAACAGAGAAATTAGAGTCAGAATGTGGGTTAGTAGTTCTTAGGGCTAGGGGTCGGAATTTGGTGAACATAGTTAAGAGGCAGAATTTCTTTGTGAGCTGATGAAAATGTAAAATTGAATAGTGTGATAATTGCACATATCACTAAGTCTTTATTGCTGCTGTCGAATAATGGCAAATATTCCACAATGTATTTATCCATTCTTTTACTCATGCACATTTGGATTTGTTCCCATGTTTTGCTATTACAAAGAGACTTACTTTAAACACTTTTATCTGTGTGGTTTTGGTGCACTTGTGTAAGTGTTTATCTATATAAATGTAAATGTTGCGTGTATTTTAATGACAAAAGAAGTTAATTCTTCTGATTTGAGCATAAATGATACCTGGTTTAATCAACAAGAAAAAGAGACAACAGCTGAGACCCTGACTTCTTCTCCTATTTAACTTCTATGGTATTGTTTATTTTCCTACATTCTGAGAAGCATGAAAAACACTACTGTCCTGTTAATTACCCCCTTTATTAAGGACCACCAATAACTATAGTTTTATTTAACTATTTATCAATAAGTTAAAATTCTACTTGGAACTCTTGCAAGTTTCTAACTAATGTGATTTTCTTTTATTCTTTTCCCCCAAAGATTATTTATTTATGATACAAGAGCTGGGGTGCAGGGCAGAAATGCAGGGGTTTCACCATCGACAGAGTGGGGCGCCAGACAGGCCGATTGACCTAAGTACATTGCTGAGGGGAGCAGTGGACGAGACAGGATTGACTCCTTCTGCAGTGGCTGCCAATAGCTTCATGGTGCTGTTCTTAACCTGTTGCACCATCAAGGAGGCCTCACCAATGTGATTTTCTTCCTTGTACTTTGACGTAATTTAAAATTTATGATAAATAAAATAATATAAAACTTTAGCATAAAAAGGAAAATGGTGCAACTGAATTTCACAGCGGGACTTGGCCCAGACCTTCCTAGACATCTTTATCCTCTTATACTACCTGATACTGGGAACAGATGGAGGACAGCTTTACTAAAGCAAAGGGACAGTCCTTAAATAAGACATGTAAATTCTTACTAAATAAACCTTATAGGCTCACTCTAACAGGTTCACGGTTGTGTGTCCTGTTAGGTAGTCCAGTACCTTTAGCTGATTAAGTTTAGTTATTCTGGTAGTGGTGATCCAATTGCAAAACAGGCATTTTAGCCTTAAGTTCCTTGTTGGACTGCCCTGATTTCCTCTGTGAATGTTGCTCTTCGAATTTAGGAAGGGGGGAAGCACCCTAAGGTCAGAATGAGCCATCACAAAAGGGCCCCCCTGGTGGCACAATGGGTTAAAGCGCAACACCATGAAGTTATCTGCACCCACTGCAGCATGAGTTTGATCCCTGGCCTGGGAGCTGACCCACATGATGCAGCTGACCTCTCCTGTCTCACCCGCTGCTCCCCACAGCAGTGTATTTCAGTCAGTCTGCCTGTTCTGCTCCCCACTCTCTCTGTCTCTGGGGAATCCTCTCACCGCTCCTGCACCTCTGACCTGTACCCCAGTTTTTGTATGCATAAATAAATACATCTTTTTTTAAAAAAAAAAAAAAGACACTACAAAGGATATTTTTAAGTTTTGCTTTTCTTGTAGTAAATTATACATAGCGTAAAATTTGCTGTTGTAACATTTTTAACTGCAATGTCAGTGGTATTCTGTCACTGTTCATGCACAAGGTGGTAGTCTTTCCCATTACCCAACTTCAGAACTTTTTCATCTTCCCAAACTAAACTCAG